TTTGTTTCGCTTTCGCACTTAAGTTATTATCTATTTCCTTTCGGTATTTCTGGAGTCGTTACAAATATAATCTTAAAATTGAAGAATTAGTGGAAGTAAAACACATTTCCTTTTTAAATAAGTTGTTTATTCTGAAATTTTTAATTAGATATTAGTAGAATCTTAATTAGTTATTTTGAAATACCATAAAAATTTTAATTAGATATAGGACTTTCTACTAAAACTTTCTATTAAAATTTTAATAACTTTTAAAAAATTAGTAGAACTATTACATATATAAATGTTTATTAGCCAAGTAATGTAGTTGTAACTTTACTAATATTTTGATTTCTAATATTTTTGTAATATAAAAACATGAAAGTCCTCAAGTTGCTTCTTAAACTCAAAAAAACTAAGCATCAAGAATAACTCTCTAGCCATCCAAGCATGAGGAAATGCTTCAGTGACTAACTTATACTTAGAACAACAGATTCTTTATTCACATCCTATCAAAGTTCGAATTAGTCAAGAAGACTTGATATCTTGTTTCAGCTATCAGAATGTATAGATCTTCAAACAGAAAATCAATCCATGCTACATCAACCGATGACCAATATGAATTTGATTTTTTTTTTTTTTATAATCTCTGGATTGTAAAACGTAAAAAGATAAATATATTTAAGTCAATATTATATTATATCGAAAAAATAAACAGTGAATTTATTTTTAAATTCTAATAACTTAATATCGAACATATAAAGGGCAAAAACACATTTTTCATATTTTTTTTCTTTTGCTGCTGAAAAATCATGATCGTATCATAACAAGGTTTTAACTTACATTAGAACTACTTTTCTTAAAATTCTTGCTTATGCAATAATCTTTTGTTTCTTTCTTAATAGCTTTTCCCATGAGATTCATGACAAGATGCTAAAGATAGCTACATATATGTGTGATATATAAAAATTTTGTTATACTATAAAATGACAAAATCAATATGCAATATCAATGAATAAGATTTCATATGCACTTCACATTAATTAAGCATGCTATCTGCTCATAAAAAATATTTCAATAATTTTAACAGTTAACATAAATTAGATAAATTTCTCTTAATCTTTTGTCTTTCCATCACTTGAAAAATATATAGAAAAATGTGTACATCATACTTAGTATTCTCTTTATTTTCACTTTTCCAAGTAGCAATATAAAAGCAAATCTCAACATTCATATAAACAAATTTCAAACAAATATGACTGCAACAAGTAAGAAAGTTTTTATTCATAACTCTTTGTTATTTGAAAATAATATAATCTAAATATATGGCTAAATGTTTTAAGGACGTATTATCACCTGGCAAATAGATATCCACATGTAAAATTCAGTTTATTCTACAAGTTTAGCATTATTTTCAGTCTCTCACTCAGGATTTATAAAGATTTCTTTATAGAAATGTAAGATATCAAATTCTCTATTTGTGTAGCTTCCCTTGTCCATGTCTTCTCTACCTCATGTCGCCATGAAAATGCCACAATCGATACACATCCACTCTTTTTTACCATCCTTAAATTCGTATCAACCTTATTCAAACTTTTTAAAGCTATTTTCATCCCTAACCTTCTCTTACTTTTTTTATTGTAGCTCTCTAATCACCTCAATATGATTAACATAATATAGGATATGAAAGCAGCTGGAGAATACATGGTTTGAGTTACATTTGGATTTGCCTTCAAGGTGAACTTCTGCAGCTATGTCATGACTGATTTCTTCATTTATGGAAAACTCCTTTAAATATAATATATCAAAACTCATGAAAGCATCACAGGATAACTACAACCATAAACCACAAATTTCATCTAAATTCAAGTCAAGATATAATGTTCTCAAAGAGAGTATCACTGGAAAACATATAACTAACTGTCTATTATTTTTATCACACACATATAAGTATCTAAATGGTTGTGATCAATAATTTATTAGAAGACAAAAAAACTGTTGATGATCACACACACAGTCATTGAAAATGCACATATGGTAAAATTAATACCAATAACATTAAGTATAAATTTTTTTTCGAGTATTACCAATCATGTTTTAAATATTAGTAGTCATTATAGTAGGTTGCGCTAATAGCTTGTGTTAATTGGTGCGTGGAGAAGAGTTGCTTTAAGGGAAACTTGAATAAAGTGGATTTTACCAGGAAAAAGAAGAGATTTATGGAAGGAAGACGTGGCTAATTACCAAATCCGATGGACAAACTTTTCTCTATTTATGGAGAGCCAGAGTTTGAGCTCAAGATATTTATAATGCTCCAAGATTAGTACTTAAATCTCATCACTATGTTACAGTTTTTCATTACTTAATTTTTTTTTCCTTGAAACAATAGCAA